CGTCATTAATGGTGGAAGCGGCGGCGCGCTGCGGCCGTTATCCGTCAGACAGCGACTCGAGTGAAGCTGGTGAAGCTGGCAGGCGAACCGGCGAGCTTTCACGGGCTGGAGAAGGCTCGGGGACCCGCTGAGTACGGCGCTTTTTTACGACGCGGCACTGCAGCGGGTGGAAGTGCAGTCTAGCTGAAGAATGCCAGGCGAGTCCTCAGAGTCACCATAGGCAATAGCTCGCAGTGAGGGCAGCCGCCGTCGGCGAGCGCGAGAGCTGCATGATCCTCTCACAGGCAGGAAACACATCACATGGCGGTCCCCGTCGCTGAGTGTGGCTCGGCACGAGCCACAGGAGGATGGCATCTTTACAAAGACGCGGCTCTTTTAGATGATAGAAGTGTGAGTCGCGGGGCGAGCACACACACACACACACATACACACAGAGCAGAGTAAAGGATATATAGTACGCCGGAAAGCGCAGCAGGTACAGCAGTTGAAGGCGGCGAGGCCAGCGACTCCAGAAGCTCGTCCCGCTGAAAGGCTTGCGTCGACGGCGCGGCTTCTCACTCCGGATCCAGCGTTGCGAGAGGCTTCGCTGAAGAGATGAAAATCAGTGTACCAGCCTTATCGAGCTATATTTATAGGGCGAGACCACACCCTTTCTGGCGGGACGTGACGAAATGGGCGCGAAATGCCCCCATTGGATATGGTGTCACACAGCGCCTCTCTCGATAGGCTGCTGCTGTTGCAGCAGGGCAGCCAATAGGCGCGCGAGCCGTCCTGCCTATGTCTGCATGCTGCTGCACAGCGTTTTACATTAATTCAAAATTAAGGATAATTTTTGGCTTCAATATCTCGTGGAAAAGAGGTTTTCCCCATAGCGTAAGATATTACGCAGTACGAGAGATACTCTCGTAAGAGAACTAATGTTATGCCGGTTTATGCAATTTCTTCCTGCAGCGTTAAGGACAGATCATGTCAGGTAAAAGGGAAGCAAAACATTCTGATATTTAATGTTGCTTTATTTCTTTAACAGCTTCAAGTTTAATGCACTTAGTGTTCTATACAGGCCGTTTCACATTTATTCTCACGCACCACTTACTGCGCCTATATTGAGACTTTTCTCAGCAATTTGAAGTCTTTAAATCAATATAATTTGTCCTGTCATTGATGGAAAAATCTGTTTGCTTATAATAGTACTTATAAAAGAATAGAAATAACACAAAGTAACCCTAGTTTTGTGTGGTGGCGCACCTGGTTAATCGAGTGCGCTTTTGTGGCAGCGACCCGGGTTCGAGTCCGAGATGTCAAATGTCAAAATACCCGTCTCGGCAAGTCTTCTCTCGTTTATGTCATAAGTGAACAGTTGAGAAAGAAAGAAACCGAATGTTTGTCAGTTTTTTCGATCCGTGCAGTTGGTCTTAAAGTGACAGCACACAGCGAATATTCCTACTTGTCTGTGTCATTAATATTAATAAAACAACAAAATAAAGCTATGACAAAGATGAAACTATATTACATTTCTACAGTGAACAAATAGTTTTATTTTACGTTTAGGCTTAATTATTCATTTCTGTACCAGAATACTACTGTTAGACTTTATAACTTTGTTATTTAGTATTCATCGCTGCTTGTAATTCGTTCAAAATTAATAAATAAATGCGCTGGCTGCATCAGCTGTGAGTAACCATAGCAACAGGCAGTCAACGTATCCGTTTACTTGTTTTAAATAATGTGTGAACTTTATCAGTTAGGGTAGTAGTTTTTGGTGTAGTAGCTATCGAAGAACTTCAAGTGAGCTTTAAATAATAAATGAAAAGCAAAGTAAGTAACCCGTATAAATCAACTATATATATAATTTTTTTTTTTTTTTTGCTGATCCGATCCGTGGCTCAAAAAACGTAAATGATCCGAACCGTGAATTTTGTGATCCGTTCCACCACTTATCTGTTCCCATCGTCTCACTAATGTTCTCTAGATAAGTGAGTTACTGGTAGGGGGGTGTCTGTAAAAATGTCAGTAAAAGGCTGTGCTATTATTTATAAAGATTACTTTGTTGTATTTGAAGCACACAATAATGATGCCATTGTCACACTTCAAGTTTACTTGGAATGCCATTGCAATGTTTATGTATGACCTCAGTTTGTTATCAGTATAGGATGTTCAACTTTCAGTGTAATTGAATTGCAATTGTAATGTCACCAAAATACATTTGAAGTTTATGCTGAGTGAATTCTGCATTTCAAAACTTAAATACAAGAGTAGATATTTAAAGTGTACATAAGTATACTTGGAATAGTTTCACTTTAGCACACACATGGATATTTAATATAACTTCACTGCTTTTGGACAACTAAAATGCATTTAGTATAAAATTTTACAGACTTTAAGTATACCAATTTATAGTGTACCACAAATACATTTAGTTATACTTAAGTACATACAAATAAATTGTACTTAAGTATACTATTTTTTCAGGGCACACACACACAATTAAAATAACTGACAACAGAAAAGAAAAATAACCACTATGGAGTTTTTCAAAAGGTTTATTAATAATTATAGAGGAAGTTCTATGTGAAAAACATCAGAGTGTAGAACAGAATCCAAGTATATACTTAGAATGTCACTAGAGCACAGATTAGGTCCTTTTACGTTATTATTTCTTCATGAAGGAAAAGAAAAACACATCAAACTGCCCTATTGATGACAGCTCAAATATTCTTACCACCAGTCCTATAGCATGTATTTCAAGGCACTTGAATGCTGGTATTAAGCATTTGCTGCGACAACAGTTTCATATAATCAAGTTATTGCTACTGCAATGGTCACAAATGGGAAACTTAGTATAATGTGTTTTGAATTGCATCCTGATCAAATACTTGAACAGAACAAATCAACTTGAACAACTGAAATGCACAATAAATGCTTGAAAGATGAAACTTTAATTCAAATCAAATCTATTTGAATAAAAGAACTTGAGATGGGTTTAAATAGTAAAGCAAAAGAAAGGAAGGACAACCTAATTGTGCCAAGTGTTACAGTAATCATTCTTTTTCCAATAACACTCTTAATGTTTTTAAAGATATAATACACTTAATTTCTAATTAAGTCTTAAAATATTTGGTCTTTCTATATAAAAACTGGAAATAAAGATCAGTTCAAGTTGCAAACATGCATAGCCTCTAGTCTAGGTAGTGTGAACAAGGGAAAAAAAAAGAGCATTCAAACATCATATCCCTCAACACACAGCACAAGCCACAGTTGTGTTTGTGCTCGAACAACACCACCTCAGTTTCACACAGGCTAGAAAAGGCACAAATAGAGAAGGTACTAAGCAAAGGAGGTATAGATTGAAGCACGGATGAAGCTCTCATTGCTTAAAAGCTACAGCACATTTTATTTTACATACTGAAAAACTCCACAAACTGCCATAATAAATCAAGATTGACATGTAACCAGGTATTTATATCCGGTTTGCATATATATCATGACTTTCACATCTGAATTTACCCTTCAACCAGAGAGGAAGTTCCCTGGGGCATCACTGCAGCACACTGATACGACTGGAAATTTCCTGAGGTGTTAACTCTCTAAACCTCAACATTTATTATGCCACTCTGTAGATATGCATACATAATTTCAGATTTTCCTAAACTGTGTGCACTGTAGCTTTAAGAACAGCTCGAACACTTTCTCGTCAAAAAAAAAAAAAACAACTGCATATTCTTCTTGGTAAAGTGTCAATGCAAAAACAAAGAAGAAATTTGCATAATGATATCATCCACAAAATTACGAAAGAAAATGTCTTATTCCTAAATGGTTTCCTATTTTTAAAAATACTTATGCGTCTATCTCTATCTTATGTAACTAATACTACAACAAATTCACAATTTAAGGATATTTAAAATTATCGGGTTGTGTCTCATCAGCCCTTAAAGTCTTAGATCAAATTAGATCAAATAAAACATCCTTTCAGCCCTGATTGTCACACTTTAAACCTAATCCGACAGCTTTTCCTCTGAGAATTTTAAATTAATACCAAATGTTTCTCATTCTGCCATAACATTATTGCACAATTCACTGTGCATATCTAAAAATACATACATTTGTTCCCTATACCTTTTCACCATGTTTCACTCATGATATACAAATAAATGCGATAACTGAGCGCAATTAGAAGAAAAATAACACCAAACCACTAAACAATTCCAAGCGCAGTATATTTCTTACTAAATTCACTTGAATTAAAGCGGTACACTGAGGAAGAAACAGGAAACCGCACTGAAAGAACCACAACATATTTAGGCTTCTGAGCTACTGAAGGCCATTCACAGTCCTTAAAGGATAAAATACTCTTCTCATTAGATTTCAAAAGGATACAATAATATACATACACGCTGTCCCAGAGAAAGTAAATGTAGCTCTTTGGTAACTTTCATCTCAAAGGAATTCAGAAATGTAAATCGAGAGGCTATGCATTCACAAACACACACCTGTATGTACTCAAAAACATGCTGATGAAGCAGGTGTGATGCATGAGTCAAGGTCCAGGTCGTACTATATATATATATACTGTATCTATACCGTCATATCTTGTGTACCTTGGTGAACATGAAATCTAAAAATTTTCAGGTTTATTTGCTACATAGCCATGTTTGAATAATGCGCAATTATAACTTCCAAGTATTTTTGTATTTAAGTATTTTTATACTTCATGTATAACTAGTAGCTCTATTTGAAAGTGTAGTAATATGATGCCTAGCAATCAGAGAGCATGGTCCCTTTTTAGAGGTAGATTCTATGATGTTCTATGAGGTTTTTTTTTTCAACATCCCACTTCCCAAATGAACAGGACTTTTTGTTTTGCAGCTCTGTGAACATCTAGAACAGTTAGAATCTAACAGTCTTGTCTATATGTTAAGGCCTACTTTGTTTAGGTGCATATAAGCAGCTGTAGCGGACATTTATGAATACATATCTGCTAATAAAAATGGTTGGGCAGAATAAATGAGTGCAATTTTAATAAAAGGCACAGTGTGTGGTGCATGAGCGACAAGACAAGTCATGGCCCCTTAAGTGGAATGACAGCTTTATGTGTACATGTGCATTTGTCTGGGCATAAATATTTGTGTGCAGTGATGTGACAGGATATGGTGTTTCTCAGATTTTGATGAATGCAGGGATATTAAGGACCTGCATGTACATATGTGTGTGACTCAGAGGTCAGTTGTAGCCTTGGCAGTGAGGGCCTGGATGCGACTGGTGTTGCAGTTTTTGCAGAGAACATGGCCATCCAGAGGGTAGCAACCCTGGTTGTCTCCCTCAGAGAGAAGACAGCCACAGTCCTAAGTTGGGCACACACAAAATAGTATGACAATTCTGTTTACAAATATATTTATCAATTTGTAGCCACACCCAAGTGCTTTTTACTCACCTCACAACCATAGCACTGCACATGGAAGTCACGGTCTAAGGCCACAATACGCACAGTCTCCTCCTGGCCTGGTGATGGCATTATGGGCTCATTACACACAGAGCAACGAGGGGCAAATTTCCTGGGAAAAGGGAGGGGGAAAATAGATAAAGAGAGATTACGACAAAATAATCCTGAGGACAGAGTTGCCCAAAGTTTGCCTGTTATGACTTTTTATATAAATTAATTTGATAAAAAAAAATGCTTAATACACTCTACCGTTCAAAAGTTTGGGGTCAGTAAGATTAATACTTTTATTCAACAAGGACACATTCAATTGACCAAAAGTGGAAGTAAAGACATTTACAGTGTTATAAAAAATATTTCAAATAAACGTTGCTCTTTTGAACATTCTATTCATAAAAAAAAAAAAAAAATCCTGAATAATATGCATCACACTTTCACAAAAATATTAAGCAGCACACATTTTTTCAACATTGATAAGAAAAGTTTCTTAAGCACCAAATCTGCATTTTAGAATTTAACATAATATTCTAATAGAAAAGTTATTTTATATTGTAATAATATTTCACAATATTACTGATTTTACTGTATTTTTGATCAAATAAATGTAGCCTTGGTTAGTGTAAGAGAAAAAATTGTAGCGTTTTTGGATAAAATGCAGCAATTATTTCAAATTAGATTTTTGAGCCTTTGTAGTAAAAAGTTCTCTGCTCTATAACATTTGGCAATTTAAAGATACCTGTATTGTGGCATCTGAGGCAAAATAATCAAGATGGTAACAGTCGTTGAGCACCAGCAATAACTATTGCTCTAAAATGACCACAAACAAACATTTTTTCATTGTTTACACACCCTTAAACCTGTGTGACTTAAATTGTTACATTGAACATAACAGTTTTTAACGATGTCATTGAAACTTAAAGAACTTTAAAAGGACAAAAAAACACCATAAAAGTAGTAGTACAGGAAAGCTAAGTCTGATGTAGAGATTATTAGTGAACAGAGACTTGGAAAGAAAGTCATACAGCTTTGGGATGACATGAGGGCGAGTAAATTATGACAATTTTCATTTTTGGACTCATCCTTTAAAAATAAATCAATACATTTTACATTTCTATCCCCTTTAGATATTGGAAAGCGGTGTATAAATTATTACTCTAATCCAAATGGAAAGGCCATCAGCCATCAATAAACTAATATTACTATCCAGTTGAACTGATTTTAAAAGACACAAGTGTTTTAGAAAGGTCCACAATAAATACATTAGTGTGTTCAGCAATTTGAGAACATAGGACAGGAACAGAGATAACAGAGAGAGAGAGATGGTGAGGATGTGTACACCAAGCAAAACAGTCAGGTGATTCAACTTCTTCATTGGGTTTTATCAACAAACAGCAAAAAGGAGGAAGTTCAGCAGATGGTGGCCTAAATAAACCACAGTAGTAACAATGAGTACAGTCCAGGTAAGGCACAACTGTTCCTCGACACAATAGCATTTCTGTTGTGATCACATTCTCACAATCACAGATTCCCTCTGAAACCTTTCAGTTCCTTGATACATACAAAAAAGCTGCTTTCGATATAGTGACATCACTGAACATTATATTTAAAATACATAAATCACCTGCAAATAAGATGATAAATGGTTTTGAATGGGATATTTGAACCCTGATGAAGCTGTGAAGGTTTATAAGGTCACACACTAAGATGACGAAAAAATATATATGTAAAGGAAAGAGGATCCCATGTCTTTACATTGGTCCTGCCTGAATGTAGTATCTGGAATGAATAAAGCATATTTGTGTGTCTGGTCATACTTGTGGAAGTCTTCGATGCAGTGGATGTGGTTGGCAGCGTCCACGGTAAAGGGAACACCGTCCAGACTCCGATGGCAGACCACACAGGTGAAGCACTGGGGGTGATAGGCCTTCCCAGTCGCCCGCAGGATACGCTCCATTATGGGCTTACAACATATGTTGCAGGTCTCCAGGGTGTTCTAAAATCAAACACAATAAAGATCTTACATAACGTACAAGCTCAGCCAAAGGAAACTGTGGAAAAAAATAAGACTGAGATAGATTCATGTCAGCATATAATTCAAGCTCTGATATTGAGAGACGTGGCTTGGCAGTCGTAATAACCTTTAACAAATGCTGATTTACAGTGATACAAAATAGATGGATAAAAAAACACTGGGGGAAAAAGCAACTTTCCATTCTTTTTCATTGAAGAACCATCTCACAAACTTAAGCACACTCACTCACACCTTGCTCATAGAGGGATAGTTCACCCAGAAATGACAGTTCTGTCATAATTTACTCACTCTCATGTCATTCCAAACCCATTTGACTTTAATTTTCTTTCACTGAAAACAAATGAGATATTTGGCAAAGTGTCCAAGCTGCTTTTTCTAAGACATTGGAGCAGCCTTTAGTTCATCTTCGAAACACAAATGTAGATATTTTTAATGAAACATGATTTCTGTCCCTGAAAATGTTTAGCTTTCCTGTAAGTGTAGAGCGTTGGCGCTTGCAACGCCAAGGTCATGGGTTCGATTCCCAGGGAAAGCAAGAACTGTTATGAATGTAAAAATGTGTACCTTGAAATGCAATGTAAGTCGCTTTGGATAAAAGCGTCTGCCAAATGTATAAATGTGAAATGTAAAGAACATCATACAGGTTTGGAACAACATAAGGGTGAGTAAATGATGACAGAATTTACATTTTTGAGTGAACTATCCCTGTAAGAAGTCTGTGTGTGTAGGACTTCATCTTTTATATACATATAGCAAATACCTTTAACTTTCACTTTATCTAAAAGAGCAGCCTAGGCATTCTGATAGATAACTACTTTTGAATTCCTCGCAAGAAACAAAGTCAAACAGTTTTAGAATGGCACAACATTTTGGGTGAACAGACCCTTTAAATCCATAATCTATCACCATTTAATGGATTTCTGTAGGATAATGTGAGCATCCAAATGGTTGTCACGAGTCTATCTCTGTCCTCAATGCCTGAGGGAAAATGGGGGAGGTTCTGATATAAAATATATATAGCGAGCAATGAAATGAGAGTAAGATCTGATTAGCTACTCTCTGATTCACAAACAAAGTCATTTTTCACTCTTGCTTTCGTTCTGCGAGAGGCGCAGCAGTAAATACGTCCACTTTCTGATGACTGCAGGCTTTTCCTCAGCCACGGATGCTGGGCCGCGGGCCAGCTGATGACTTTTCGCTCACATTCCTCTTCTTAATGTTCACCCCGAGCCCTGGATTTGTTATTTCGATATTTCATATAAAAGAATCTTCTATCCCCCTCCCTCCCCTCTAGCTAAGCAATTACAGCAAAGGATGGTGAAATCATCTGTGTGTGATCAATTATAGGATGACTTAGGATCTCTTTGAAAGCATGTGTGAGACCATCTCCGCATGAGAGGCTATGATGCACAAATATTTCCTGGATTTCTCCATTTGGGATTTGGTGGCCCAGACACATCTCAGTATGTGTGAGTACTCCAGGCTACAGCTGTCCTCTTTGGCTGCCTGTCTCTTTGGCACAGACACTCAGTACTGTTTTCAAACACAGACTTCCATGCCTATGTGCATTTGTGGCAACACTGTAAGCCATCACGTTTTCCGCGCCAATGAGCCCTGATGATTAGGGCTGACAGTCCTGTGGGTATGATCTTGGATAGCTGCTCACACTAAGGGAGTGCGAAATTTACAAAAAATATCATCTCTATTTTCTGGGATTTTGTTTATAATGATAATTTGACGATCTTTTTCTGAGTGTTTTTGCACTGGTACTTTGGCTGGTTTAGGCCTGATGTGGAAAGCTGACTACCAAAGATTGTTATTTTCTTCACATTCTTTGCGGTTCGTTCTTAGTTCACAGCGGTGACAGAAATTAACATTTCCGATAAGGGCGATTTTTGCCCCGTTAAATTGATTTACAGGTACATTTTTACCTTTATAAGGGCATTTCTTTCTAAACTTTTTAAATGTATGCATCTTTTTTTTTTTTCAAAATCTTACATTTAATCAATTCATTATCAGTTAGAATGATATGGCACTATAGGAATGTTACCAATCAAACTACAAAGGGAACAAACTAAGGCAACATTTTAAGCATCTGATGCAGTGTGATCCAGGCAGACAAGCAATGATTATGTCAGAGATCAAATTTTAAATGAGGAATAACACATTTTATTCAATTAAATTTGTAAAATTATAAAGGCAACAAATGAATCAAGTAAATATTAAAATTTGAAAAGCAAATAAGTTTCAAGATACGATAGAAAAATAATTCTTAGTCGATAGATAATACAAAATTCAAAGTATTGTATCTAACAGATGAAGTTTTTGAAGATCAGACTATAGAGAAAGAAAAGCCCAAAAGAACAAAAAGACAAGAAAGAAGCCCAGAGTCTTCGGAACTCAACATTTTATATGCTGTGCTTAACAAGAAGGGACTAGGGAAAGCACCTATTAAGATTTTTGGTATTTCTTTTGCAGCCATTTAAGGATGGGGTGGGCTAAACACCGGTAGTAATTTGTCAACCGGTAGACATTTTGGACTATCGTCTCTATCGCGGTTACGTTCACGTGATGTTGCTGTGCTACGCAGTCATGAATACATACCTATGTGTCAAAGTGACCATGCATTTGCAAGGAAACAGTAATTTATGTCTTAATTGAACACAAACAGTTGAGAAAGAAAACAAAGTTCCAGCTAGTAATAATGCTATGCTAATCCAAGTCTAAATTATAAACTAACGTGAAGGCAATCCCAGTTTTATCCAAGATGGCTGATGTGAGAAAAAAGTTTTTGATTCAAATATTTGATTAAATACTAAAACGTATTGATAAAAAATATTTTATATTTGTCTAGGCTAGGCTTTTTTGTGTGGTTATGATAGTACTGCACTGTTAGCTTTGCAACATGCTAATATCAAACTATTTAAATCAACTGCGAGTCTCCCGTGTGCTTTGTGTGAGAAATGGCGGTTATCATGTGACGCATGGTGTTCTTGCCAATGTACTTTGCCATTCCAAATCTGTCACTTATGACATTAGGAAGCTGCCTGACTTGGTTTGGAACAGATCTGCAGTATACAGAGTTTTCAGCTCCATGGACAGAATTTACTGGAAAGAGTCCCATGTATCAGCACAGCCAAATCCTGTTTGCACTGCCTGTGCACTGGGATCATTTCCCATGCTCTCGATTCATCAGAAAGCTGAGGCGGAGGTCAAAGGACTTGACCCTGATCTCCTACGTTCCACTAATCATTCTTAGATCAACTCGGCTTTAGATCACAGTGTAATGCTGAAGGATCGTCAAGGCTCAAAAAAGGCCGTAGGTACACCAGGGTCTAATTTGTCTCATTTCTTCTGTGAATATAGCAGAAATTAACATTATTTCCCAGAGCAACACTTGTGTACAAACAATGTCCATGCCACAATCCACTGCAAATCCTGGAAACGGATAAAGCCTTTAATAAGCTTGCTGCTGAGAACCCTTGAGGCTTGTCTCATAACTCTGAGGCGAGGAAGAGGGGGAGGGGAAAATATAGAAATACAGTCAATCTGTATATATAGCCTTCAGGAGCACAGTCAAATGTTTAACCTGAGTTTAGACTTGAACCAGCATCTGAATCCCTGCTGCTTACGGTTTTCTGAAGAAACATTCAAAAACAGCCCGTTTTCATACAATACTTTGTGCCAGTCATCGTAGGAACTCAGTGGCTGTGAAGTCTGGGTCAGTCAGACCTCTCTTCCCCAGCACAGCTTTTCAGTTTTCTGCAGCTTTTATGTTGACGTCAAATCAGTTTTGATTTACATGCTGTGGATTTACTGTCCGGTAATAACTTTCAAAGATGGTTTAGGAAAATCTGCGCAGTTCACTGGTGGAAGAATAATGGCTCGGAGAGCCACTAGAGGGCACTAGACGTCTACTCATGCTTTCAGTTTACTCTTCTCCTGCTAGAATGTGATATATTCACATATATTCCTCTTTTTTCAGCTTCATACATTTCTCTAAGTGTTTGCCCAGAAGGCTAAACAAACGTCTAGGCAGATGAGGTAAAATGAATTTAGGTCAGACAGCCTCTTTTTGAACGAAAGGGTGAGTGTAGAGCACTGAAGTCAATTGTAGCCTCTTCTTTCCCTTGTTGCTTTTTCAATTTCCTGACAAAGTGCTCCGACACTCTCTCTTTCTTCCAGGCACTCTTCTTTTTGTGGGTGCACTGCAAACACAACACACAATTCTGTAGCAGGTCAAATTCTCATAGTGCTGGACAACAGTGTGGAGTGTAGAGTTTATGTCTGTACATCACTGAGAGGACCTTCAGTCCATAAGAATGACTAAAAAGTGACACAATCAGCCTTGCGTTTCACAAATGATGATACTCATTTATAGACTGGTCTAAATAAATCAGAAACCAAACTGTCTGGATTGAATGAAAGAAGGGGACATATAAGGAACTAAAACAGATATTTATGAAGGTAAATCACATGAGGTCTGTGTATACTGTAACCATCAACTGCCAATTCACAGCGCTCAATGTGAATTTAAGCAAAACACTCTGAAGTTACTGGATGTCTTCTTTGATAGGAGGATTTATTAATTTTACATGATCCTCAGTTAGCTTGGTGACATGGATTTGTTTTGCACAGAATATTAAAACACCTGTATACCCTTCAATGTCACTCTGCCAACTATATTTACCTTATAAACATCATCTAAATAGCTTCTGAAATCTAAATAGTTTTAAAACCAAAAAGGGCTTTTATACTTAATTCTTGAGCAATGCCCCGAGTCATCATACATATATAAGTATTTCACATAAAACTTTTTTAATGTCTGTCAGCACCACAATTACGTATTTATGCACATATGACAACTTCACATTAGAGCACCTCTCTACAATATGATGATATACAGACGCAAAAAAAGAAAACCAAGACATTTCTGACTGCAGCTGAGAGGTCAAAGGTCA